TACAGTGGATCATGTGAGGACAACAGGTTGTCTAGACTTTCAAAACTGATGGCAGCAACAATTTGCAGCTGTGTACATTTATAAGAAGTATGTCACTGCTGCTGCCTCTACTACAGCTTGGGATCCTCTGAATTAGCTGACAGAAATGCAGTAGGTGTACTTGGTAAAATACTTGGTACACTGGCTGTCAGTCAGTCAACTAGAGAAGGTGGGGACATTGCGAAGTAGGTAAGAAACTGGTAGAGGCAATGGTGGAGTGAAATTACCGTAGTGGAGTTTTGTGAGGTTTGCTCTTCAAACAGAACTTATTTAATAAATTCAGTTATGACCTTGACGCAGACAGAACTGTGTGAAGGAGGTTGTTGATGACACCAAGTTGGGAGGTTCTGTCATTGTAAAGGAGGATCAGAGTAGCAATAGCACTTGGTGGCCTTGAGGACTGAAGTGATAGAAAGAGATAAAAATGAGCAATACTAAGTAAAAACTGTGAACTTTAATAAGAAGAGTTTCTTAAATATGTTGGGAGTTTTCAGAGGAAAGTGACATATTAGAATAAATTTGGGATATTAGACAGTCACAGGATAAATGTGTGTTTCCAGCACAAGTGTGACAGTGTAAAAGGCAGGTTGACTCCTAGGACACATCAGATGAAGGTGCATCCTGTAGAAATGGGGCAGTATTTATGCTGTATTTATGCTGGAAATGTTCTGATAAAGATAATCTCGGAGAACACATTACAGTAGTAAACACTGGAGATGGAAGGGACTAGTTAAACTCCAGGGTTATATTAGCAAAGGAAATAATGGATATAAATTTGACATCATTAATATTACGCTGGGATTTAGGGGAAAAGTTCTGACCATCTACAGAGTGAATTTTTGGAATGGCCTCTGAAGTCGTGCTTTCTGTCAGTTATTTCCAGTGACCAGTTTATAGAGAGGCTGTGTGATACCGTACAATAACAAACTGCAATGTCTACACTGCATTCCTATTATCTTTTGTATTGGCTTGTAACTCATGTAGGATAGTTTGTGACATGCAAGCATCCTTGCCATATGAGTACATAGAATGATCTTAATTTGCTTAGTTTGGTGAAGAGTTACTCCAAGTCTGGCTGTTACACATATATCTGACACTCTATTGTTTTTGCCCAGGCTGATGATTCCCCCATTTCCTAGACTGCAGTCTGCTCTTTCCTCAGCTACATTTTTTTCAAAATGAAAACACTGGGCTGAAAATGTGCGTTTTGCCTGACACAGTGACATGATCGTGTCAGGTAATGTGGCAATGGCAGGTTGCTATTTTCATTGACTGGTGAGGCCATAGGCTCACTTGGTGACTGTGGTCATCATGTTCTGCTGCAGCACAGACAGATGATTTGAACTTCTTTTAGGCAATAACACGCCTCCTGGCAACAGGCAAGGACATGCCTCTGGCCAGAGCCAGAGTCTGGTGTCAAGTTGACGTATCAAGCTCAGCTTTGCTTGCTGACTAGCATAGCTTTTTTTCATATGTGTTATGCCTAAATTATGCCATTCTTGATTACACGCCCTTCTGCCTTGTTGTATTTCTTGCAGCACATCCAGTGCTATGAGTGCTTCTGCTTCCTTACTATTCAAATCTTTCAGCGTCAGTAGACTGTCCCTCTTCTGACATTCCTTAGCCAACTTCAGAATCTTCAGCTCTTTTAATCTTTTTCCCAAGTAAATTCCTCCTGCATCCTGCTCATTTATTTGCCTTCTCTGAACTCACTCTGTGTTGCCTGCATCTCTCTGTTAATGAGGTGTCTGGAAGTGAACGCAGGTTTCCAGGGGTGATTATTATTTTTTTACCATCTGCAGCAGAACAATGCTGGGGGACCTTGATGATGATGAGCACCTCATTGTGTTGGATGATGAACAGGGAAAGGCATGATGACCTCTCTGTCTCATAACAAAATGCTTGTGTGTTTACTTTGGTCTGCTTCTGTAAATCACTGCAACCTTACGTCTAATGTGTGATGCACCCTCACCCTGAGGTCCTACACAGCCTAAATGCATGCTGAATTCCTCCCTTCTCCTGAGTAGAGGTTTTTACATGTTTGTTTTCTCATTTTACCTAACTGCATTTTTCCAAAGTGAATTTTCTATATGTTATTTATCCATTGGCCTTCTCAATAAGGGTGGAATAAAGGCCCATAGCTATGGGGCACAGTACTGGAAAATTAATGTATATAACGGTGTCATGTTTTTTTCCCTAAACTTTTTCTCTAGAAACATGAACTCCCTTTGTCTGAATTATAATGATAGGTTGCTATTCACATATTACCCTCTAAGCCCTAGAAATATAACCTTTCTTTTTTCCTTAGAATTCAACAGTATTGGTGCTTTCTATCTTAATTTAATTTTTATCCTATTTTAGAGGTATGTCAACAGACAAAAAAAACCAAAAATACTTGAGTGTGCAGCATGTCTCCGTCTCTTACACTGGGTATTTTTTTTCCAAAGGAAATATATAAATGTATATCATAAATCCCTGTAACATACCTTCTGTATGCTAACTAAATTATACAGAATGCATTCCTCTTTCTTAAGCCATAAAGTCTAGTTTCAATGAATTAACTACTGCAGATACTCAAGGCTGCATGCTGAGGTTCAAGTAAATGAGTACAACAGAGAAGGGAGAGAGGGTGAGGATCTTGCAGTGAAGACTGTCTTGTACCCATGACCCAGCCTGTGGGTCTGAACAGGGCTGTGACCCCTCTCTTTTCTTGGTAAGGTGAGAAGATTAATCCCAGGCTTCCTTTTTGTTGTATTTTGGGCTGCAAAACACTATGACCACAGATCTGTTTAGTAACCTAATCTGTCTGCTGATGGTTACTCAAGAGAGGAGACCTTCCCTGCACTTGGAGCCTCCAGTCCTACCAGAAGATGAGGGTGGCATGGGTAACTTGGTGAGAAGTGTTTTTGTAGGATCATAGGATATTTGAGACTGGGAGGGACCTCAGGAGGTCCCCTGGCAAACCTCCTGGTCAGGCAGGGTCAGCTATGAGGTCAGACCAGTTTACTCAGGGTGTTATCCAGTCAGGTGTTGAAAACTCCAAGGATGGAGATTGCACAGCCTCTTTGGGCAACTTACTCCACTTCTTGACCTTCCCAACTTGTGCCACGTCCGCAGCCCAGAGGGAGAGCCTGCTGTCTTTGAAGCAGCCTGTATTCCAGTGTCCCCAGTCAATAGCTTTACAGGCTTAGCTGTGACCAACCAAGAGGTTTGCAGGTACAGCCAGCCTCTGTCTGGACTTGTGTGTAACGGGTATGAGGCATCACGTTGTGCCCCAGATTGTCCCCAAGTCCTCATCTTCAGTAACTCTCTGCTCTTCCAGGGCTCTGAAGGACAAACAGCTGAGGCAAAGACGGCAAAATGCAATGTGCTCAATGTGTGCACAGGTATCGTGCCTGATGATCAGTCCAAGACATCCAAGTCCATTCCTCCTGGTGTGCAGTTTCCTGAGAGGCTATGTGGATGAGTGATTGGCTTAAAACGGACTATCTGGCATGTCCTTGGACTGTCAGCAAGTGCTGCTCAGTTCTTCTAGGAGGTCACAGCACCTGGTACTTTGTTCCTATCCAATTTTAGAGCTTGTTGATCTTGGAGGCCTCCAGTGATCTGTTATGGTGATTCAGAAGGATCACTTTCCCCTCTGTTAGTACTTACAATAACACCTGTGTGGCATTAAGGCAGCTGTGCTATGTGAGATGGCATGGCTGTGCCACGCTGCCTGCGTGGGTGATTTGGCATGGGGGACAGCATTCCCCATCGTCCAGCAGTGGCTCCAGGTCCCACTTGAGGGATGGAGGTTTGTCTTACCTGGTCCTGCAGCTGTCCCTGTTGATGTGTTGCAGGAAGGGTTCCAGTTCTGTCTTCTCATTTGTAGTTATTTGGGCACTGTTCATAACAAACGCATTTCAGAGGTGGCTGCATTTCAGAGGTGGGTGAAGCTAGCCCTTCCCTGGCTGCCTGGTTTTCTGCAGAACGAGCTGTTGTTAGTATCCTCACTACCTCTTCTACCACCTCTGCTTGTGGGAACAACTGCCTGTTTGCTGCTTACACTGTGTGTCTGGGGACACAGTTGGAATAACTTATAACGATTGTCTTTTAATTGCTTGTTCAGCACTCCGCTGTGGAGCACCATGCTGCTCTCTGATGTCAGGGAGGGCTGGCAGTGGGATGTCAGGGCGAGGCTGCTGGGCTGGTGCATGTCTAGGCATTGATCCTGGGCCCTGGGGATGTTTGTGTGGTCCTAGGAGGTTTTTAACTTTAATAACATCTCTTGGTGATAAGGAGCAGTGGCATGGAGGGACGCAACAGTGACAGGATGATTTAAACAGCCTTCCTGTGCTGCTTCATCTTCACAGACATCACAAATCAGATTAGCATGGGACTGAGGAAAGGAAGGGGAAAGTAAGGAACAGCATGATGGAGATAGGGAAGAGGAAAAGAGGGAACCCATGTTCTGGTAGGCAGATGGACAGGCTGAGTCTCCTCCCACCTGTTCTCCACTGGGTCCTGCTGCCATCTGTAGATGGAAACACCTGAGTCTTCCTCTGAGCAGTATTGACCATCCCAGCAGCTCTTTCTATGCCTTCCCTGTGGATGCCTGTCTGCCTCTATCTGCCATCTCATTTTCCTTATCATTACCAGAAACCCTATTCCTACCCACAGATGTCTTCTCTTTTTTATGCCAGGCAAGTGTCCTTAAATAACCCCTGGCCCCACAAACAAGGTGTTTGTGATGCCCGCTGCATGGATCCTTCCCTGAATGCTCTGGGTCACCCCGTGGTAGATGCTAGCAGCCACCCTGTGCATTTGTCAGTGTGAGGAGCTGCAAGAGCTTGGCACAGGGACATCGGCACGTGCCAGCCCCTCGCTCCCCACAGTATTGGCATGTAGGGGCTGCCTCCCCTGCCCAGCAGGCACCCTGCTGTGGTGGCAGTGTATGACCATCTCCTGTCTCCTTACAGATCTCTCGCAACCTGGGGAAGCTCTACAGCGAAATGATCTTTGTGAACGGCTTTGTGCACTGTGACCCGCACCCAGGCAATGTGCTAGTGAAGAAGTGCCCAGCCTCTGGCAAGGCCCACATTATCCTCCTGGACCATGGGCTCTACCAGGTACGTTAGCTATGGGGGGCTTCCAGGGCTTTGTGAGGCTGCCTGTGGGCATCAGGCTGAAAGAGCACACCCAGCTGCAGCCTTGCCCCCCTAAGCCCACATGAATACATTTGTCCTATTATTCCTATAACCCTCCAAGGATGTTTCCTGGCTCTGAAATGGGGGAGAGGGCACAGCTAGGGGGAACAAGGCTTACCCCCCTCCCCAGTTCCCAGCCCTCATGGACTTCTGGGGCCCATGTCTCCCTCCCCAGGTACTGAGCGACTCATTCCGCATGGACTACTGCCGCCTTTGGCAGGCCCTCATCAAGGCTGATATGAAGAGGGTGCAGAAGTACAGCCGGCGGCTCGGGGCAGGGGATTTGTACCCTCTCTTCGCCTGCATGCTGACCGCCAGGTCCTGGGCGTCTGTCAACAGGGGCATTGACCGGTCGCCAGTTTCAGCCAGCGAGGTAGGTCCTGTGTGCCCTTCCCTGTTGCAATACCCTTTCTTCTGCTCGGATACCTTTCTTTTTTTGTAACCACTTGCACCACTGATATTGCAGCAATGCTGGGCAACCCCTGGAAGCTCTGTAGCAAATTCTGCAATGATAGCTGAGCTGGAAAAAGCCAGGACTCCTTCTGCAATGTGTTTTATAGTGGCTGAACTTAATTTCCCAGTTTCACTTGTCATGGGCTGCTTAAATTTTGTATAATATTTTAATGGCTAAGTGTTCACCAGTTTTGGCAGGGGAAACATTTGTAGATCAGCCTTTTCTTAAAAAAGTATTGAATGCAGCTGTGCAGGAAACCGTCAAGGAGGATAGGTTAAGGTAGAGGAGACATAAAGGCTTAGTGGGAAGACATGAGAAGGATAATGCATTATCACTGTTCATGTAAATGACTATCAGCACTGATACAAACTCCTAAAAACCCTTGGAAATTACTTCCCAATCAGAACCCTATTATCTTGGAGTCAAGGTTGCTTAACTGCAGAGCCTGTCAACTCAATCACTACAAATCTAGGAAATTGCCACTTACATTCTCCACCCTTTCCTATCCACGCATGCTGGGATGCTTCTTATGCCTCTTCATGCTCCTGACACACATACCCCACCTTAAGAAGAGTAGAAGCCCCTGCCGGCTGTGCTGTTTTTAGAGATGAGCATACAGTGGTGTGATTTCAGCCAATGGACTTGTCTCTGTAGGTAGAAACATGTTTCGTCCTATGGTTTGTTTTTATCTGCATGCATTTGTAGTAGAGAGGATGAAATTAATTTAAGTAGTATTATAATATTGTCCTGTGAAATTCTCTTCTGGAAATTCCTTCCAATTGGTGTTTCGTTTTGATGGGTGTGGTGGGATTTGCTGCACTGGCTTATCATTATCCATAGCAATGAGTAGGTCAGATTCCTTGGGTAATGGAACCCCATGCCCCCAGTAATTTCATTGCTTCCTATCTGCGTTAATTTTCTGCATATCAGAAATTATATACTGACTGTCTAGCCGATCTGTGCTTGATCTGGTGAGTTCTGGAGCTGGTAGCTCCAGAAAAAAATTCAGAGGCACCGAAGCGAATTGACACAGAGCTGGGTCCACTACTACAAGGCCAGCTGAATTTGAGCTAATGAGCAATGTTTATCCTAAATTGGCTTGTGAAGGTTATACCAGAAGTATAACTGTGGCCACATGGTGCCTTGTGTGGGCTAATGAACTTTGTCATTGAGTTGAATTGCTTGTATGGAGCCAGCTCTGTTGTCTTTGCCTACATGACACAATTAGTGCTGAAACTGGATAATCCTCAGCAGATAATGGGGAGCTGAGCAGATTTGCTGTGGCATTAGGAAATGAGCTGCTGCTTGCTCTTAGTTTAGAGGTGAATATGAAAGATTGTATCAGCAGCAAGAGCCAAGCAGTCTGTAGGCAGGTCCCATCAGTATAGAGGTCTGGAGAGTGTGCTTGAAGATGTATCAACAGGAGAGTAGCCCGTGAGAGGAGGAAGCAAGCCTCATGAAACAAAATCTGATCTGTAGTTCTTTGTCCAGTCTGGGGCACTGCATCTCCAGAAAGATTTGATGAAACTGGGGTGAGTCCAGTCGGAAGCTACAAGGACTAGTGGTCAAACAGATGCAACCCATGAGGTAAGTCTGAGCAAGTTAGGGCAGAAAAAGTCTAGAAAACTGTGGGTTGAGAAGAGTTGTAGTAGTGATTTTCGAGTCTGTTAGACTGCTGAAAACAGGACAAGAGCTAATGGGTTTAAATTCAAATAAGGAAATTGGGGTTAAACAGGAGAAAAGCTGGATCTAACAGCAAGGCTGTTGAAACGCTGGTTCGGATGGTCTGGGGAGGCTGTGAGTCACATCACTGGAGAGTTTTAGGAGCAGGCTAGGCAGATGTGTGAGGATTGCCATAGGTGTAGTTCTTCCTGCGTTAAGCCAAGTCCAGGCAGCTGACTGCTCAGGGTGGCTGCTAGCTTCATCTCATCAGATTTTATGATTGTGGTTTGCTACATCCTGCAGCAGCCTCAGCAACTGAAGCCAAGGGGCTTTTCTCAGGTCCTATGGCAGAGTTTATTTCTTCCTCTGTGCACAGGTTTTGCCCTTGACAGAAAATGACAGTTCTGATGACAGATCATGTTGTTGTTTTGTGATGTGGACAAGCATCTGGAGTTAAAAATAAAAAGAAAAGAAACAGAAAAGAAAACCTATGTGTGAAAAATAAAGTAGCCTCTGCAGTAATGCTGGCTAGGACAAGGGATAATCAGGAAGGAATTTTCTGCAAACAAATAATGGAACAACATTTTTAACATTTGGGAGAGCTAAGCATCTTCTTGCTGAAGCTTTGTGCATTTGGTCAGTGACAGAGGCAGGAGGACACAAAGATTTATTTGTCAACAGCAAAGCCACCATGGTGGTGTGTGAGCTGTATACATCTCTGACCATCACAACACGCATGCTTGATTTGTGCAGGGCTGTTCCTTTATAATATGTCTGAAGTTCACAGAGAGTGAATGTGAGATCCCATATAGTGAAATATGGGCCATCCATCCCTCATTCCAGAGGAGAGAAGGTGTTCGAGCTGTCCTTTCCCTTTCTCATAAAGGAGCCTCCCTCCTGTAAGTAGTAGTTTACTGCCCTCTGCGTGTGTCCTGATGGATTATGGAAATTTCAGGACGTTCCAGGGGCTTCTATTTGGATTTGCTGATTCATGTCATGGCCTCTGTGGGAAGAGGTAGGGCCACAGTATGCATATGGGATCAGCTCCACACCACACTGACCTACATTTACTGGGATGGTGGAGGGACTCTCAGATCTAAAGAGAGGCAGAAGAGTGGGGCTGGCTGTCTTGCATGCTGTAGTTGCTCATGTTTGGAGGGGAGCCCATCCTAAGTGGCTCAGGCTGTAGCCCATCAGTTATCACTAGAATCCTACTGTGGGCAGTGTATTTGTTGGAAGCTGGGGAACCAAGGAACATGAAGAATCATCCTGTGTCTGCCTTGCTTGGTCTTACCCTCTTTCTTTAAATGTCTACTACTGGCTGCTGCCAGACAGGATATGGATCTAGATAGACCCTCAGTCTGACAGATGTCAGTTTTTGATATTTTGGGTTAGTATGACACTTAGCAGAGTGCAGTTGAGTTGTGTTGAGGACAGAGGATGAAACTAGGCTTTGGAAACAGCTTCATCAGGATGGCATAAAGCCATTGTTGCATGGGACAGCAAGACAATGAGGGAGCAGTCTGGTTGTCCTTGCAGCATGTCTCCATCTTCCTGAGCAGTCCTGTGCTACTTGCAGCTCTGCCAGCTTTGGTGCTGGTGAGATGTGACTCAGTCAGAAGGCTGCAAGGGCAGTAATGAGACATGGCTGCTGCAGTCTGCCTGGGGCCAAGAGCTAAGATAGCAGTGAGTGCCTTGCTCTCCTGAGGGGCTATTAATCTTGCCAGCAAGGGGACGGGGTCTTATCTCACTGAGGGGCAGGTGAGATACGGCAAGAGTGATCTGTGACTGTGTTGTGAATGCTTGGGATAGGCAGGTGTCTTCAGGAAAGCAGGATAAAGAGCTCTTTAGCTTCTGGCCTAGAGTCATGGTCTGGAAAAAAATTGTCTTATCCTGCCAAATCTCATCTGCATCTGGACCTGGGTTTCCCATGCACTCTCAGCTTCTCTCTCCTTTCTCTCTGACATGACCCGGCTGGCCGCAGGATGTGGAGATCCGGTCCAACGCTGCTGCTTACCTACCCCAAATCACCCAGCTCCTCAACAACGTTCCCCGCCAGATGCTGCTGCTGCTGAAGACCAATGACTTGTTAAGGGGGATCGAGTCAGCCCTGCACACACGGGCCAGTGCCAGCTCCTTCCTCAACATGTCTCGCTGCTGCATCAGAGCCGTTTCCATGTGAGTCTCTTCTCCAGGCACCAGAGGTCAGACATGGAGCAGCAGGGGCTGGCTGTCCCTGGGGGTCAGGACCTGGGGGGGGATCCCAGGGCCAGCAGGCCAGCCAGGGCCCAGTCCCACAGTGGCTGAGAAAGGTGAGCAGGACAGACCCTGAGATGGTGGTCAGGTCCAATCCAAAGTCCATGTCATAATACAACATCATGGTGACAGGGCATCTCCAAGGTCAAACTAGTAGATCAAGTCAATCTGTAGATCAGGTTGTCTGGCAGGTCCATGGTGACAAGACAGGGCTCAGGTCAAGCCAAGAAGTCAGCATGGGGCCCATGTCAAGGGACTTCACAGCAGGGCATGAGCTGGGGTCCATTACTCTTCCAGTGTAGCTCAGGCAGGGACTGAAGGGGCAGTTCTGAGATTAACTGGAGCTCCTGGGCCTATGATCAGAGGGTTGGGGGAGGTCCCAGGCTAGTCAAGGCCATTAAGGCTTATTAGAACCCCCCACTGAGGGCCATGACAAGGCCTAACTTGACTTCTTGACCTCTGACTCTTAGCTGTGGACCTCTCCCCCTCATTAGCCCATCTGTTGTGGTCCTACCCTTTCTCAGCTACAAGTCTCAGCCTCTGCCTGTATTGTTCTTATGCCCATCAGCCTCTCCAGAGGACAGGTCTGTTACCCTGGGGCTGGGACAGGGATGGAGTTGGAGCCCTTAGGGTAAGGGTTTGGGATTTGGCCCCTCCAGAAGAGGGCAAAAGGCTTCCTGCCCATTACAGGCGTCACCACTGGGAAGCATTTGTGAGGTAGGAAAGATCTGCAAGTTCATTGCTGCCAGTTTCTGCAGCCTGACTGAGGGACTAAGGCTGATTGTGAAGGTCGAGCTGATGTTTAAAAGTTAGGACCAGGAGTCATTCAAGTGATTCTCATCTGTGAGTCTTGAGGCAATGCACTTCTGCCTCAGATTCTTCCTCCTTGTGGAAGAAATAACAAACAGTTATTTCTCTGGCTGATGAGGGACCTATGAAGCCCAGTTAACCTCTACTTCTAAAGAAAGGTGGAGAATTACTTTTCCTGAAATCAATGTGTCAGGATTGCTGGACTCTTACGTGTGCTACCAGGAAGGGCTATAGCGGTGTTCTCCTGTCCCTGCTAGCTCAAGTGAAGCTGGGGGTAGAAGCAGAGGATGCCATGGCCCAGGGTCACTATGAATAGTGGGGAGAAAAATGGGCTCACAAGGGAGCAGGCTCTCTCTTCTACCAGATTCGTGCTCGGAAGGCAGTCCCCAGCTCCTCAGGAACATTACTTGGAGAAAATCCCTACTCCAGGGGTCCCCACTGCTGGTGATTCTCCAGATGTGAGACATTCCCCTCTCCTGGGAAGGGTCAGTTGTACTGAAGATGTAGGACAGGCCTCCTTCCCACTGTGCTGCATCCTGATGGATCTAATGCAGTTATTTCTCTCATTCTAGGTACCAGAGGAGCAAGAGTCACTCGCTTTTCAGGAGGGCCCAGATCTCACTCACAGAAGCCCTGAGCCTGTGGCAGATCAACTTGTATGAACTCTTCCTGTGGCTGAAGGGGTCCCAGCTGGGGAACTGGGTCATTGCTCTCCTGAGCCAGATGCACCATTCCACGTACTGACATGAACTGGTGGGAGAGGCCCAGGTGTTCCCTCCCTCCCTTCTGCTCTCCATGGCACATTTGCCCTTCTGACTGTTTCTGTCTGTTCTGTGGGCTATTTTTGGTTCTTGTTCCATGTTACACACTGCACTGTCCTTGCCTGTTACAGCATGAGCTTTCTCTGTGGCGCTGAGAGGTGGAGTCAGTACTGGAGCTCTGCTGTTTCATGGTTTAGGAAAAGGAGGTGCAGGATACTGTATGTCAGGAAGGGCATAGTACTTTCTTTCCCCATATGAGCCAGGGAAATTCCACTCAGATTCCAGTGGGACTGCACTGGAAGCAAAAGCCTCTCCTTGGCTCTTTCTTAAACAATCTTAGAGAATTTAAGAGAATCCCAACACTGCCTAGAATGCCCCAAAACATTTCTCAGACCCTCAGAGAGAAGTGGTAAGTCCCTTTAAAATCTGGTAGGGTTTATATTAGTTTTTGCAGTTCCTAGTCTGATTTCTGTTCAGGTGTGCAGAGAGTTTCTCAGAGGAGTGAGACCTTGTGGAGAGCTGGCATTAGGGCTTCCTCTCCCAGCACCAGGGAAAGGGGACCCTAATGGTAAGAGTGGTGGACTGCAAGTCTGTTTTTTTGATGTTTGTCTCCAGTCCTGTCAGCAAGTGCCGCTGTGTTTTTGGACTTTTCCTGCTCTGTTTCCTTGCAGGTGAAATGGGAGAAGGGGACAGTGGTCCTGCCTCTTTTCCAAAACTCAGGGAAGGCAGGAGGAATGACAGCTCAGGGCTCTGAAACTGCTGGTAATGTATGTGTACTGTACAGTACTGCCACACAGCAAAATAAATGTGTTGTATCAAAGACCTTTGGGGGAGGGATACCTGGCTGTGCACTCAGGGTGACGTTTGGGCCTCTAAACTCAGTCCTGTTTCCATTTCTCTTCTGAGTAAGAGATGCCAGGCAGTGCTGTTAACTCATTGCAAGCCAAATGAAATTACCTCTTGGTCTTTCCTCTTTCCAAGATGTTTGTTGCACATCTGGGTCCTCTGGTGCTGTGTAAGATGTGTGTTGGGATGGGATGGAGGAGTGGGTGTCATTCTGGTGGGAGGATGCGCCATTCCTTGCCACCCAGATCCATGCTGAGCCTGCCTCCTCCCTGCCTGTGGGAGCACGCTGCAGCACATCTGTGGGACATCACTATCCCTGTACCACACACTGAGCATTTTGCCTCACCACTGCCCATGATGTTTCACTGCTCCTGCTTCGGACAAAAACCTGCCACTTTCTCCACGGTGCAAGTGACAGTCTGGTGGCTCTGACTCTGCAGCTATGGGATGGCTACCAGGAAGTCTCACCCCAAGGCCTCCTTCATATAAGACATATTTGGGATCCTGGGAGAAGTCCTTGCTGCTTGTGACCCATCCTGTAGCCAGGAAAGGTGGATGGAGGTGACTGCTCAGATCATTTCAGCTTTCTTGTAAACTGTCCTGGTGAAAGGGGAAATGAAGAACACAGTGGAAACATCCCTGTACTGCCAGCAAGCTTGCTAAGCTGAGGGTTATTACCCAGGCACCAGGCTGAGGGCAAGCCACAAGAAGAACATGTGTTCTCTCAGTTTACATACAGTTTCCCAGCTTGCACAGGTGTGAGACCCCACCTTGCAGTGAATCCACTTGCATGGGAAAGGAAGCAGGGGGGCAGAGAGTGCATGAATCTGTGTGTCAGTACTCAAGGAACTGATTCTCTTGCTGGCTATGTGGGAGAGGGAAGGGATGTAATGCAGAAAAGGTACCTGACTGCAGGTCATGCTTGGGCATGATGAGTTAGTGACTGTGGATGTGTGGGTAATGACAGCAACTGTGTACATGTGCAAGGGTGTAGGCACAGCTGGCTGGCTCAGGGCTGTCAAGAAGTGGTGTGTGATTTGCAGCGTTGTGGGTGGGGAATTGCTGAACCTGGGTTTTTGGTCTCCTGTGCAGTCAGTCACCTGACCCAGGTGTTATCTCTCTGAGCCATTCCTACTATGGGGGCAGCAGCAGGAGCGATGTGCTCTCCCATCTTTGCTAAGAGCAAAAAAAGAAACCCCGGTAAGACTGAATGTCCCTGCAATGCTTGTCCCCAACCTGTACAGTGACAGGTCAGAGATTCCCCTGACTTGTGGGTTGTATGATGGCATCAGGGAGTGAAGTGGTGGTAACTGCAGTGACGAGACTCCTGAGTCGAGAAAGAGTCATAGGGGCCCTGGAGTATTGGTCCTGCAGCCTGTACATGAGTAATCTTTACTCATGTGAGCAGTCTGGCTGAATCAGTGCCTTGCTTAGGCACTTGCAGCTTGTAGGTTGGCCAGTGTGGGTAGGCATGTCTTATCGTCCTCAGAAGTAGAGCTCAGTGCAAAAAATTGGCCCAGTGCACCCAGTGAAGTAAGTCTAGGAGACCCTCTAGCAATACTCACCAACTGCACATCCTCATCTTGTAGCTGCCCCTGCAAATGCTTTTGCTTATCCATGTCAGGATATACTGACTAGAGCACTGTCTGCGTCTCACCAACATCTGTGCATGAAAGCTCATCCCACCGTGAGATCCTGGTTGTGTCCCTCATTTCCAGATGACCCCATGTCGTGGAGAGGCTCCCCGCAGGTGGTATTTGCATTGACTGCTGAGCCCCCAGCCCACTCAGCCATGCCTGTTCTTTCAGCCCTCTGAAATACAGGCACGTGACTCCTAGTCCTGCTGCCTGAGGAAGGTACTAGCTATAAAGTGGTAGGGAACGAGCAGCCCCTCGGACTGTAATTTTTGGCAGTGTGCAGCAGGCAGAGAGCTGTGTATTTGGAAGAGCTTTGTCTACTGACATGAGTCTCTGCCGTCAGGCTGCGTGCTTCAGTATTAACAGTGAGGCTCCTCTGTCAGTTGTGCTCAGCTCTCAACCTTCCCACAGTCAATCAATGCAGGTTTGCCGGAGGAAAGAACAAGCAAACACCCGGAGTTTGACCCTTTAACATTCCTATGTTTTTGCTGAAAGCTCTCAGATATGAATGGGGTGAGACACTTTCTCATCCCATTTTGTGGTTGTCAAACGTGGGTAACCTGGATCAGCTCTGTGCACTTGGCCTCTCCTTCCAACCGGAATTTACTGGCTTTTTCACCACCAGCAAACACAGCCCCTGGTGCTCTGCTTGCAGGCACCACATGGGCTGCTGTCTGCCCGGCTTCAGCTGTGAGCGAACTGAAGTTTGGTGTGGGCACTAAACGTTGGCCTTGCAGCAGACTCCTGAGCCCACTGACTTTTGCAGGACTGACAAATAGGGGGTAAGAGCTGGGGCCAGATGTGAGAAACTGATGGGCAACTCTCAGCATAATATGAAATACTACGTTGTAGCCTCATAGCATCTCCCATCCTGAAGGCTCTCAGCACTCTCAAAAGTGTTGGGGAGCCAGCAGTCATACCATCTAACATTTAAATGTACCATCATTAGGTTGGCTGGAGGTGAAAAATGGGGCAGTCAGGGTAAATGATGCTGGCATGCAAGACCATGCAATAATTTAGGGTATCAAGTGAACAGGCTTTTTCATATCCATCTGAAAAAAAAGCCAGAGAGAGCATTAGTCCAGACTAAACACCATAGCCTTTATCTAGCACATCCAGTGAACCTTAATGATAACAAGTAGATAGCATGTAGATTTGCAGATCAAGGCTGTGTGGTACCCTCTGCCATCTCGCAGGGGTGTATGAACCTCGTGCAGCCGCAGCAGAAAAGCTTTGCAAATGAATCACTCCCTGCTTCCCGTAGCAAATGAACCATGACCAGCCCGCAGCCTGGCCAGCGCCAAGGTCATTCCCCTCATCAGTGACTCCCCTGGGGTCACTGGGGCTGCCTTCCAGTGCATCGTTTGGTAGGGCTCTTACCACACCACCACTGCATCTCTCTGTGTCCCTCCCAGCACCACTCTCCTCCCCCGTACCCTGAGTCCAAAGGGGTATGGGCTGGGTCGTGGAGCACGCAAGGAGCCACACACAGCTGTCTCTGCCAGGACACCCAACATTCGGGTGGGAGCAGAGGGATGCCCGGAGCGGTGCAGCCCTCAGTGCCTTCCCCCTTCATCCCCTTTTGAGAAAGAATGGCCAGAAAGGGTGGCGCAGGCATTTATTCCTCCTTGGCTCCTCTCTAGAGGCAAGAGTCTGGGGCTGGCTCCTGCCCCTGCAGTCAGAGCTCTGGCCATCGCCATCTCACCCAGGGGATGTGCTTGTGGTGGTGTCTGTATTGCAGCTTTCAAATATCACAGAGCAAACAAACAGCACTGAAATAAGGGGGTGCAGTCTGGGGCTGTGCCATGTACTGGGAGGGGGAATTTGCTGGTGCTGCTGAGCTGGGAGGTGGGAGGCATACTTCAGAAGCTCACAGCCCTCAGGGTAAATCCAGGTCTGCTTGGGGCTGCTGATCCTCTAACAACTTGAACAGAGGTGCCATAAGGTGGAGCAGGGGGTGTAGGGACAGAGCAACTGGAGCCTCTGAGTTTGCTTATCACCTCCTTCTTAAGTCCAAAGCAAAGCAGTGGAAGGGCTGCCTAGTCTTGCAGTTTTCATCGGCCAGACGCCTCTCAGTTCATTCTTGGGCAAAATCTGCACATTGAGGTGCCTTCCTGAAAAGAGGCAGCGTGTGCCTTCCCAGGGTCCTGTTATGGCTGCTTCAGGCTTTAAACCAGGGGTAAATTCTACTTACATCCAGCTGAAGGCTGCTGGTGCAGGCTAGAGATGTGCTAAGTGATCTCTATGTGATTGTAATTGGGCCCCATACAGACAGAGCTGAGCTGGGTGGAGGGCTCAGCACACTGGGTGGTGGGAGCTGCGCCCAGCTGAGAGATCTTCACCATGCCAACTCGAAAGCTGCTGCTGCCTCTTGGCAGGGCAGCGATCCAAGTCTGTCCCCTGCAGGGATCGTCGCAGTGTGTTTGCCTGCAGCTGTGCCCAAGGAAGCCTGGGCAGGATGTGACTGCCCTTACCTGCGCTCCTCCCACCAACCCTGGGACACATTCAGCAGCACCAGCTTCCCCCAGGAGTCCCTGGGAAGCTCAAGGTGACCTTGTCCAAGGGTAATGGCCTTTCAGGGTCAGCCTGTGTGACCCAGAGAGCATTGCTCTTCTTACCATCCTCTGTGGCAACTCCGTTTGTTGTAACTCAGGTACTTTGATTTCTGGTGGTCTGGTAAAAACTGTTCACCCAGATTGCACGAGCAGTGTGGAGTAGCGAGGAGCTTTGGTATTTTATTATTTTATTTTATTTTGTTTTGGGGTTTTTTGTTTTTATTTTCATTTGATTCAAATTCTTTTTTGCTGAGGCTGGTTTTCCCTACTCTGATGCATATGAGCATAACACTCGTAAAGCCTCTTTCTGTAACTGGAGCAC